TCCCTAGTACCACAACCTCTTCTAAATCCAGCCTGCACATCTGGCAGTTCTCTGTTCCAAACATTTTTGGATAATTTTCAGCAGAACCTTGCTTGCATGTGATATTAATGATATTGTTTGATAATTTCCGCACTCTGTTGGGTCACCTTTCTTTGGAATGGGAACAAATATGGATCTTTTCCAGTCAGTGGGCCAGGTGGCTGTCCTCCAGATTTCTTGGCACAACTTAGTACATCCAGGGCAGTGTCTTATGTGTTGAAATATGTCAATTGGTATGCCATCAACTCCTGGAGCCTTGTTATCTGCCAATTTCTTCAGAGCAATTTGAACTTCCTCCTTCATCACCATAGGCTCTTGCTCATATGTCATTTCATGAAATTCCTCTGTGTAAGCCAATTCCTTCTGATACAGTGACTCTGTGTACTCCTTCCATCTTCTCTTGATACTTCCTGGATCATTTAACATTATACCCAAAGTGTCCTTATGTATTGCCACCCGTGGCTTGAATTTGTTTTTCAGCTCCTTCAGCTAAAGAGACTCTTGAGTGAGTTCGGCCCTTTTGATTTTCTGACTCCAGCTCTCTGCACTTTTCATTACAGTATCTTGCTTTGTCGTCCCGAGCTGCCTATTGAAATTTTTGTTCAGCTCTTTGATTTCTTGGTTTCTCCTTTTAGCTTTGGCTTCTTGGCGCTCTAATGCAATACTCAAGACTCTCATCTGACATCCATCTTGGTCTTTTCTTCTTTTTCAGCCTTTGTAACGATCTTTTGCATTCTTCATGGATGATTTTCTTCATATCCTCCCAGAGCTCATTTGGTTTATGCTCATTGGTGCTCAAGGCCTCAAACCTGTTCCTGAGATTTGAAATTCGAATGGGACAGACTTAAGGTCAAATTTTGGTTCCTGTGGACTTAATTTTCCTCATATGAGTAGTTGGTGGTCTGTCCTAAAACAGCACCCGGCCTGGTTTTCCCTGCTGATATTGAGCTTCTCCACCAAGTCTTTCCACAAATGTAATCGATTTGATTCCTATGCATGCCATCAGGTGAAATCCATGTGTATAGCCTGTGTTTATGCTTCTTATTAAAGGTAGGTTAGTGAAACAAGTGCAGTTCTTTTTTAAAAAAACAAAACACCACCAAACTTTCGTCTGCTGGTAATCAAAATGGCTAACAGGATAATGTTACCATAGACAATGCACTGTGCCATGGATTTCCTACACAGGCAGTCCCAGGCTATAAACATCCATTTCTGAATGAGTGCATTTGGTTCTCACTTAGCCTTCCTTTAGTGTCATAAAAGGCTTAAAGCACTCAAATGAATGCAGCGTAAGTGAAGGTGATAATGAGAAATTTTAAGGGTTGGCTCAGTCTTCTCAAAAGGGAGGACAGATTTACAGAACATTAAATGTCAAGTACATGTCTGTAAGTAAAGGATTTCCAACTCAGGGACTACCTGTATATTCACGGAAGCACAACTC